TGCTGCTGCTGCTGCTGCTGCTGCTGCTGCTGCTGCTGCTGCTGCTGCTGCTGCTGCTGCTGCTGCTGCTGCTGCTGCTGCTGCAGCTGCGGGGCTGCTGGTCGAGTTTGTACCGGTACGCGAGCATAAGCTGCGTGGTTTATTTGATAAATCTTTTGGATTTGTCTCCTTCGAGATTGTCTTTAAATCAGCAGCACTTAAATGACATTTGCAACGACAGTTGTTTGGGGGGGGCCCTCATAGCCGTGGTTTTCAACACCATGGGGGCCCCCCCCGAGGGGCCCCCCCCGCAGCAGCAGCAGCAGCAGCAGCAGCAGCAGCAGCAGCAGCTGGCTGCGCTCCTGGGCCTCACGGAAAAAGAAGACAGAGTCAAAACTGCTGTTGTCAACTGCAGCATGGGACTTCGAGACAAACAGTGGGCAGCACTTTTCGAATTTATTCTCGGGATCGTCTCCTCCCCGAGCAGCAGCAGCAGCAGCAGCAGCAGCAGCAGCAGCAGCAGCAGCAAGGCCAACGAGAAGCAGGGGGAGAAGCCCGCGGAGTTGCAAAAGACAAAAACACTAATAATAAATAATTTAATTTAAATTCCACAAACTTATTTACAACAACTGCAGAGGGGCCCCCAACCCTGGGGGGCCCCTCTCCCTTTGGGGGGCCCCCAAGAGGTTCACGGTTCCCTTTAGGGGGCCCCCCTGGGGCCCCCCTGGGGCCTCTAGGGGGCCCCTAGGGGGCCCCCCCGGGGGTCCCACCGGGGGCCCTCGAGGGGGCCCCCCTGGGGGCCCCCAGGGGGCCCCTGGGGTACAAAATATGTTATTTGAGGCAACTAAGGGGCCCCCAAGGGGGCCCCTCATTTGCTTTGCATGGGAGGCCCTTTAGGGGCCCTTTAGGGGCCCCCAAAGGGCCCCTAAAGGGCCCCTAAAGGGCCCCTAAAGGGCACCTAAAGGGCCCCTAAAGGGCCTCTAAAGGGCCCCTAAAGGGTGTTAAAAACAACTTAATTTTTTATTTTTTTGTCTTTTTATTTTGCTGCATGTTGCGGAGTCGCGGTGTTGTTTTGTTGTTGGTTTTGAAGTCCTTGAATTCCTTTTTGGAGATTTTGAGATGTTTTGTGAAGTCTTTTGAGTCTTTTTGAGTCTTTTTGAGTCTTTTTAATCATTTAAATCATTTAAATCATTTAAATTATTCAAATCCGCAAAATTTAATTCATTTTGAGTCTTTTAATCCAAAAAAATCTCCAAATTGCTTTTCTCGAATCCACTCCAGCGCGCGCCAGGTGTACGTACACCGCAAACCCAACAGTCCAATTCGCATTTTCAACTTTTGAAATAAATAAATAAATAAATAAATAAATAAATAAATAAATAAATAAATAAATAAATAAATAAATAAATAAATAAATAAATAATAAATAATAAATAAATAAATAATAATAAATAAATAAATGGATGAAATGAATGAATAAACAATATGCGGAGTCGTTCAAGAGTTGGGGAGCGCGGTTTGCCGCGCTGCCCGCAAACCCTAAACCCTAAACCCTAAACCCTAAACCCTCGTTTGGGGTTTGTGCAGGGTTTGTGGTGTTGTTTGTGGGGCGAGATGAAGGAGGAAGAGTTGGGAAGTGAAATAAAGAAAGTCCCAAACCCTAAACCCTCGGGAAAAGCGGATTCGAAACCCTAAACCCTCGGGAAAAGCGGATTCGAAACCCTAAACCCTCGGAAAAAGCGGATTCGAAACCCTAAACCCTCGGGCCTCCAAACCCTCGCTCCCCGCGCTTATGCCCCCTCTCTAAACCCTAATTTCTTTCGAATTTCCCGAAACTGCCACTCCAAAGAAGGATACAAAAGGGGCCTCAAGTCCATTTCTTTGTCTCCTGAGGCTAAGTCCGCCAAGTGGGCCCCCGCAGTCAAAGTCGCGGACTTGTGTCGGTTCCGCGTGTAGCCCCAGAAGAACCGCCGCACCAACCTGCAAACAAGGGTTTAGGGTTTAGAGTTTAGGGTTTAGGGTTTAGGGTTTGGCGTTTGGGGCGTGCGGGAGAGGGGCGGGGGAGGGGGTGGGGATTGGTGAAAACGCCAAGTCCGGGCGGTGCAGGGGTCGCGGGAAAGGGGGGATAGGGTTTAGGGTTTAGGGTTTGGGGTTTAGGGTTTGGGGTTTAGGGTTTGGGGTTTTTGTTTGAGCAGTTAAGAAATGGTGCAAGCATTAAACCCTAAACCCTAAACCCCACACAACTTGTGCTGCTTGCCCTCCACTTGCTTCCCCAAACCCTAACCCTTAACCCCTTAAAAACCCTAAACCCTAAACCCCAAACCCTAATCCCCTAAAAACCCTAAACCCTAATCCCCTATTAAACCCCAAACCCTAACCCCCTGAATCCCCTGAATCCCCTAAGCCCAAACCCCTAAACCGCAAAGCCCCACAAACCCTGAAACCCCAAACCCTAAACCCTAAACCCCAAACCCTAAACCCCAAACCCTAAACCCTAAACCCTAAACCCTTGGGGTTTCACCTGTAGAGGGCTTCAGGGTTTTGGGTTTGTCCGAGTCGGAGGGTTTGGAGAAGAAGACTAAAGGGCCCACATCGCAAATTAAATCTCAAGAAATTAAAAAGAGATAATTCATCATAAGAAAGTCCCATTTCTGCTTCGTCAGTTTGTGCTGCTGCTGCTGCTGCTGCTGCTGTTGCTGTTGGCGGCCGCAGCTCCGCGCTGGGCTGCTGCAGCAGAATTTCCTGTTGCAGCGCAGCAAACCAAACAATTAAATCCATTTAATTAATTAATTAATTAATTAATTAATTAATTAATTAATTAATTTATTTATTTATTTATTCTTTTGTTTTAATTTGATTGGCAAAGAACCGCGGAAACGGGCCCCCAAACCCTAAACCCTAAACCCTAAACCCTAAACCCTAAACCCTAAACCCTAGCGTACACGGACGACTCCGCACTTGAGCGGCTCTTTCTCCGCAGCCCACTGCAGCACTTTCCGCACATTCTTTTTATTTAAAGTCCCAATTGGATTTATATCTCCGCTGCTGCAGTCATACTTCGTGTAGTACCCAAAAACTGTTTCATCTGCATTCCCCGTCGCCACCACCAACAGGGGCCCCCGGGGGCCCCAGGGGGCCCCCCCGGGGGCCCCCAGGTCGAACCCCAGGGGCCCCCCCGGGGGCCCCCGGGGCCCCTCCGCGCCCCCCTGGCGGGCAATTGGGAGCAGTTGGGCGAAGAGATAGGACAAAAGCATTCGGGTTCTGGCCTGGAGGTTTTGGAGGACAAGATCTTCCTGGAGAGTCCCCCCCTGAGCAGCAAAGCGGGGGGCCCCCCCCAGAGCAGCAGCAGCAGTTTGGAGGCAGGCAGCAACAGCGGGATCGATCCCGACGATCCCGTGACACGATCCCAGCTCCCGCGCGAGTTTGCTGCTGAGCTCCCGGCTTTTGCTGCTGCTGCAGCTGCTGCTCATGTAGCAGCTGTGCAGCAGCAAACTGCACAAGTCCTTCCCACTCTTCGGAAACCCGGGGGCCCCCGCCTTCAGCCCCAACACTCTCTCCAAGTCCCGCAACACACTCCAACAGGGGCCCCCAGGGGGGCCCCCAGGGGGGCCCTCCAAAAGGGGGCCCCCAGGGGGGCCCCCCTGGGGGCCCTCCAAAAGGGGGCCCCCCTGGGGGCCCCCCTGGGGGCCCCCCTGGGGGCCCCCCTGGGGGCCCCCCTGGGGGCCCCCCTGGGGGCCCTCCAAAAGGGGGCCCCCCTGGGGGCCCCCCTGGGGGCCCCTGGGGGCCCCCTTTTGGAGGGCGTTTTGCTGAGGGGGGGGCCCCGGGGTTTGCTGCTGCTGCTGCTGCTGCTGCTGCTGCTGCTGCTGCAGCTGCTGCAGCAGGGGCCCCACAGTCTGCATGACTCGGTGGCAAGTGAAGGCCAGCAGCAGCAAAACGCAGGCCGAGTCCGCCCCCCCAGAAAGCGCCACGAAGAAACCCCCAGCCCCAGACCGCCGCAGGTAATCCCACAGCCACAAAGACGCCGCAAGCGCCAACTCCTCACCCTCCTCGGGGGCCCCC